ATTTATGAGAAACATATTTGCCTCATTACAACGATAAAAACTCACCTATCCGCTTCAAAAGGACAAGCAGCTAAATCACTGGCAAAAGGAGCATAATGATAAGGAAAGTACCTAATTTCTTATTATAAAGTAAATACAAAATAACAAGCAACAAACCATGTCCAACTAACACATCCGCGATAATAGTAACGCATCACCCATAATAAGCCTTCAAAATACTTGTAAGCCAATTCTTCTCTCTTTCGTTGACTTGTTTCCGACTGAGGACTCCAATGGAACTTCTTTTCATAATATCTTTCTTTCCAACCTTGTTCTCCTAATCGAACTACATCTTCGACAGAATCAACGACCCTCTTTTTATATAAACGTTCTTTTAACTCCTTTTCGAACTGTTCCTTGACTTGTTGATCACTCAACTCTAACATGTATTCAACTTGAGAAAGCTCCTCCTCTTCCTCTTCTTCTTCTTCTTCAACATCAACATCATTCAATACTATTTGTTCTGATGTGGATTGTTCCATATTCGCAACATCCATTTGTTTGTTGCTGCTTGCTTGTTCTGAGGAGTCTTGAGTTTTTAAACGCTTTTTTAAAGACTCTGCAACGGCAAAGTTAAGTGAATCTCTTGTTTCCTTCAAGTTAGCATCATCTTCAGCCTTTCTGTTTTCATAATCCTTGTAAAAGATTCAACATATAATACCAATAAGCTGATTTTCCGACATTTACCTCTCGAGTTCTCGACAACTTTGTTCTATCATTCTGTACCTAAGCTATTTAACAAAATTGTATCATTACAATGATATCAATTACCTCTGATTGCTTATTCTCTGTCGCTCGTTCTGCTTGCTGCTTTTGTTTCTTTTCTTCTTCCAACTTGCGCTTTTGAAAAATATAATCTTCTGTAGTCGCCAACTCGTTTAAAAACAGACGTACTCTTCCAAAATGTATTTCTCCTTTATCATCTGAAAGATATCCAAACCGAGGAACTAATTTTTTGTACAATTCAATCAAATAATCGATAGCACCTTCACGAATATCCAGGCTTGGTAAATGTGGCAAAAAGTCGTTTCCTACAAAAAAACAAAGAAACACAAAGTCATCGATCACTCTTTCCAAGTCAAATTCTAGTCTTTGGTGTCTTGAAGAGGACTCCATTTCAAAGCCAATTTCTAAGGGCTCCATAAACTCTGCTTCCAAACACTCTCGTAATATATCGATACTTAATAACTGAAAGGAATTCCTTGCACCAATTGCTGCAGCATTTTGAATATCGCTACTGTCTTGGATCTTGGAATCCTGTGCTTCTTGAGGCTGCCTCTTTTGTTCACTTTGTTGTGGTGAGGGAAATACTCGTTCACGAAGTACGTAAAAGTTTAATTCATGCGTTGCCAAGGCCAACATAATCAAATCGGCGTCTAAACCATACAAGACGTGTGAAGTATTCGGGTCGTAGCCTTCTTGGGCCCTTTGCGTGCGAATAAACTCTGCTATTTTATGTTCTCCTTCTCCAGGAACAGAAGAATCGGAGTAGATGACTGAAATTTTGTTGTAAGCAGGATCATGAGCTACTCTATCAGCAATAAATTGCTTAAGTGCCACAGAGAGATTTGTCATAAAAGGTGTTCCGGGTGTAATCACGTTGGAGTCAAAAGGTTTCCTGTTAGGATCGTATTCCGGCACTCTGAGACCCTTTTTTTTCCATTCGTCACGAACCCTAAACCAAAGAGTGACCACCTTGTTTTCGTACCTGGAGATATACTAACCTTAGCAATTCTTTTTGCTTCTCTTCAGCTTCCTTTGCAGCTCGAAAGCGACGAGAACGTTGTTGATTGATTTTTGCTCTTGGCGCAACGCCATCCACCGCAAGGTAAACAAGTTTCCGTGGCCTTATCATATATACCAAACGGTCGATGTAACGAAATATTTCTTCGAACATCTCCTCTTCCTAAACTAGGTAGTACAACAATAAAGGCTAATAACACACAAGCTGAACTTACTGTAGTAGGAGGTGGTCTATTTTCTGGATGTGTACAAGGGTGGATTATACCATTCATATCTAAATACAGGTTATCAAACTCCCTGCCGTTAGGGTTGGGCTCTGTAGGGTCTATACTAACAAAGTCTCCTTGTTGTTGGTCATACGGACCGACCAACTCTATCACGTCACAAAGTACTTTGGGATATTTCAAACTCAACCAGCGAAAAAAAGCGGGAACTCCCATAACTATTTACAACACCACACACATACAAGGAATGGTACTGTCCATCAATCCATTCAATATCGCTAATACTCCTGAAGAAACCGGCTAAGTTGAACAACAGACCAACAGTTGACACAATACTATTGACTGTTCAAGGTAGCTAGAGTTGGGAAGAAAATAGATAAAATGATATACAGTAGCGAAGTAAGTGGATAGTTGTCTGTCGGAAAGAGTCCTTTATCAGTATATACTGAGAAAATTTTGATATGCAACAGTGATTTCTTTGTGTGTAAGGAAGACTTTCTCTATTTGGTTACTAACCAGCATAGTAGGACTGCTATTAACAAACTGACAACAGTCTTTGAGTGAACGCTGTGAAGGGTTGCGTCATACAAAGCCCTCAATAGCTTTCCAACTAACTGTCAAGTAGAACCTCTGTGTAGGCGTGGCAGAATTATTTGACTAATGTTTTGTACTACAATAAAAGAAAATCTGTATTTCACAGAAATATTTCAGCGTATTTCTACAAGAACCAAATCTATTCAACAACAACAAAGTATGCACTGAATAGCATACAATATCATTCATTCTTATTGCTTTCTCCCACTTCCCCTCAGCATTTCTTATTATCGTACATTTCTGACAAGTGTTCTATTTACCTATAATACACAGAATGAATAAAGCTGGCACAAATAATATATACAAAAACATACGTTGTTTCGAATAGTGTTGTATGAAATAGTTTGCAAAGGTGCCCTTGATGCTCTATTCGTAGTAAAAACAGGTGGAGTTGTGGCTGTGAAATATCTCAGATCAGTAGTTTCCACTCGATAATTGATATTTGGGTGGATATTCTCCTTGTCTTTCTCATATTGGGATAACGAAGACATTTCACTACTCACAAGAACAATACAATATTTTTCACTGATCACAAAAAATCATACAAAGAAAGCGTAAAAAGAGTGAATGGAAAACAAGAGCGGATCAACAGATTTTCTCTTCCCAACACAAATGGCGCGCTCAACAGTCTTTACCCGCCCATTCATTTAGCCCGCGCAACGCTTTGAAGATTCAACGGAAATCCAACACCATGAAAATAGGAATCAAGCCTTTGTAGCCCAAAACAAGTTTATTTAGAAAAGACAGCCTCGTTTATACTATCGTTACCAAGTATTTGGAAACAATTGTAGTCGTAAATTGTGATAGGTGACTGGTGCTTGATAGATATGAATAAACTGCATTTCCGCAGAGAATATTTAATAGAAGCTTAAAAGTCGTACTGTTTACATTGGATTCCAACTTTCTCACTAAGCTTTGTCGTATTTCATTGCGATTAGGATTACTTAGTGACATAGATGTGTCATTCCATTTTCATATAGAAGAAATAATCTTCTTCGAATTGCAAAACTACAAAAATACGACATTTATTTTATTCAACTCTTTTTCATACATACAAGGATTATTCTATATAAGGAATCAAGGGTTACAGACACATCTTGCTCCAAAGAGTATTATCAATCTAAGGAAAAATTTTTGGGCACATTGAGTACTCGTGGCGTAATATCGTCACATATATTCCTCGGTCTCGGATATTATTTTTCCCAATGTACTTCAAACTAATAAAAAGAGACTAAGAAACCACTTGAACATTGAAGTAACAATGCTACTAAGCCATCCGCAACGAGGAATTCAATGGTACTTATGACTCTACAGAAAAAGCTTCGGAACCATTCCAATTCTCTTCTTTTGGCTGCGACAATATATCTTTCTCTTTACTTACCATATGTTTTCAGTCTTGTCGATCCTGCTGTTCCCAAGAAGATTTAAGTAAACGCTTTCAATAATATCTGAGTACTTGTCTGGAAAGTTTTAAAAGTCTCCTAGCACAACAACTGTTCATGTCTGTGTTTTAACTTCCCGCATATTGCTCTTCGCGGCCGATCCACGTAATTCCTCTCGTCGGCCCTTGTTGCATTGTTTGGAGATCACATACATCATGTTGGTTTACAAAGACGCGTTTACAGGCAAGTGTATAAATCTTTCCTAACATTAGACTCTTCTCAAGGTTTTATGATAGGTGATGAGGTTTGCTCCGACGCCATGAAAAACCTCCACGAGGAGGAAAACGGCTTACTCTTGGTGTGTGATTCTTACAACATCTCGAAAGGAGGTGAAGACTACGGAATTGAAGTCAACGATGACGAGGAGGGAGGAGGAGCAGGTGGAGCTGATAGCACTGTGGAGCAAGTGAATATTGTAACGGAGTCATTTGCCTTGCAACCAATTCCCATGAGCAAGAAAGATTTTCAAGTCACTATCAAGCGTTATAGTAAGAGAGTAAAGGAGTATTTGGAGAAGAATCAACCAGACAGAGTGGAAAAGTTTATGGAAGGAATGAAGTCGTGGTTACCAAAGTTAATTAAAGAATTCGATGATTATGAGTTGTAAGTATAGTGAGGTTCTGCCGTATTTCATTTTGAATGTTTTTTTTTAGTTACATGGGCAAGAGTTGTGACCCAGACGCAGGTTTGATTATGTCCAAATATAGAGATGAAGCTATATTTCCCACATTTTATTATATCAAAGATGGATTAGTTGAAGAAAAGTTTTAAAAAGACAAC